AACTCGTCTGCTCAATTCAAAACAAATAATTATTGCCGCATCCCTTCAAAATTTTCTTTTTTGAAATTTATAACTAAAATATCACTGTTCTTTATATCCATATGTAGCAAAACATCGAACCTAATAAAGAAATTATCACTTCCATTCAGACGTTTCCCAATTTTCACCCTCTCGATCATTTCTATATTTGAGGTTAACAATAAATCTAAAATAGCATTGTTTCTAGTAGGTTCCTTGACTAATTGGTGAAGAAAGCCATCCTAAACAGTTTATAAAAACCTTTCTCCCTCATGGTTTGACTCTATTATTTCCCAGTTTATATGCTTGAAATTAAAAGCACCCATAATTATGACTTCATTAACAGTTGGAATCTTAATCTCATTGTAAAGTTTCTCGCTAATTTCATCAGTATCATTTGGTGGTCTGTAACAAATTCCCACTAAAAGTCTTTTCCCTTTATATCCACTAATAGAAACTCAAATCGATTCAATCTTCTTGCTATTATTTTTGATATCCTCAGTTTCAATAGAATTTCTGTCATTAAAATCATCTACATTCAACCATGTTTCAGTTATTCCCATTATATTAAAATCTTCCATTCCTATTAGTGCTCTCAGGTCATCTATATTATTTCTTACACTTCAAGCATTACAACGGTACCAATTAAGCCTATTCTTATAACTACTTCTATATTCATTTCCTATGCTAAACTTTTCTCTACTTCTTATCCTTTTCTTATCTAGTCCTAGTTTAAACTTCCCTTACAGCTGAGTTAATAGCCTTAGCATACAAACCAGCCCCTGCCCTATTTAAATGTAAACCATCCATTCCAAAAAGCTCCTTTCTTCCACTGAACCGATCCCAGAAGTCCAACCAGCCAATCGTCTCATCCTTACATACTAACCTAAGCCTAGCATTTAGCCCTAGTGACCGTTAGTATCACGTTAAGTAAATATTATATCACTTGGTGTTAATTCTTTTTATACCTTTCTGGTTTTCTTTAACTTAGATGTTTACATTATTTTTGGCTAGAGGCAGTTCTTAATGTTTCGTGATCAGAGCATGGCTTATTGACTATAATTTTATTTAAAGTTTATGAAAAGATTAGAACGGCATAAAACGCGAGTTAGGTAAGACTAAATCAGATTGCTCATTGATTAGATGGTCAGTTACAGTTCTTGATTTCATTATTGAGTTTATTCAGTCGGTTCATCTGTTGCTTAGTCAATTCAGTGCTGTGAATGTTGAATTTGAGTTTTAATAAAGTACAAGAGATACAAGAAAAGAGACAGTAGAGATACATTCAGTTTTACAGCACATTGATAAAATGATGCAATGAAAATAATTCCAAACTGCTTTATTTTGATGTTTTTATGAGATATGAATTACTGTTTGAGCTAAAAAAGAATTGTGGCTTTTCCTTTCACTCAAGAAGTTTTCAATGGGTTGCTTTATATCTTCACCTATAAGAAACAAATTACATGGCTTGATTCAATTTTGCGATACTTGAAATAGCTGTTATTAGTATTTTTGTACTTATATTTCTAGCATACACTTCGTGCAAACCCTCGTTGTTCGATTCAACTCTTCAGCTTGTGACTGAGCTTGATATAACAGGTAAGATCAGGAGCTATCTTGACATGTATTAATAGCTTTAATATTCATATCCAGTGGTGATGTATGAGTTAGGTGATAGCTCGGTAGTAAGGAAACCTTTTCTAATTTGTCAATTTAGCACAAAAAATCTTAAGAAAAATCTGCAAGTCCAGTTGAATGGTTTCTAATACGATTTATATTAATTTCCAAATGGGTTATTTATTTTCCTAATCTTAAATTTGACTTTAGTTCTGCTGGTTTATATACGTTCAGTCGTACAAACTGATGACATTCTAGGCATTATGCCTATCAACATCAGTTGTCCTAATTAAGTGGCAACTAAGCATCTGTCGTCCAATAACCAGTTAATATTTTTCAATGAAACACTACTCGACAGCTCAGAAAGTAAGAGCCGCAATGCCCTTTCAGCTCCGTTTTTTAACTCCAAGAAATGGCCCTCAGTTGTACAACTGATAATGTCTTCGGCATAGTACCTATTATCCTAACTATACAATAATCAAGCGGCTATATCCAGTGTCCTGTAGAAATATGCTAGTGAACCTCTGCTCAATAGTTCAGAAAATAAAGGTTGCAGTACCGTTTCAGCTCAATTTTTGAACTAAATGATCCTCTGTTGTACAACTGATGATACTGTCGGCATTATATCGACTAATATTACTGACCAATGTTTGTGTGAAAAGCAAATTTCATTATTTTAACAGATCATACTGTGCATCTATACATTGTTCTTAAATGTTTCAGATGCTCTTTATATCTCTAATCTGTTAGTTTTAAAATATAAGTATTTAAGAATTTTTTAAATGTAAAAGGATATTTCAATTATTTTCATATCAAATCCTAAGTTTTTGTTCGTTTCTAGTTAAGCACAACGATAAACAATGTGCTATCTGTGCTGTGCTCACTACGTGCAATGAAATTATAAGTATGTAGACTTACCACTATGCCACTGGGACGCCGTAAAGTTTTCATCACTTCATAAATATGAACTTATCAAGTTACCCAGCAATTAAACAACAAAACTGGATTTGGAATATAAGTATAATATCAAAACTGATTATGTTTTGACACAATTAAACAGCAAACCTATCGATATCTATAATTTGTACTAAACATTTGATTGATTATATTCTTTAACATCTAAGAATACAATTGTAATGACGTATTTTAAGACGTTATTAACAAGCGTGCTTTAAAGTAGAATATAGCACTTATATGTTTATAAAGAAACAAAAAACTTCAAAATCTTGAGGAAAAGGAGTAACAGTGACGACAGATTAAGGCTAATATATTTCTTAAACTTTTTGATAAGAAACAATTACATATGTGTGTTTATATATATATGAATGAAGTTTTGTTTTAATTCCTAGTTTTATTAAGCTAGAGGTCAATCGTCCTGAATGACTATACCGTTAAGTCATTTTTTGAAAGAGTAAGGAATACTTAATGAATTATCCATTACAATGTTGAACTAAATAGCATTTCAACCAAGAAAACATAAGTGAAAAAATTTTAGGCTTCGTCAGCTAGTTAGGATATTGAGTTTTACATATTCAAAAATGATATTTAGTATAAAACAAAATAGTTGGTTCAACTAGATCAATTAAACTATTCATTGACACTCTAGCGCAGTCCATCATTGCTTCCATTGAATAGTTTAATGTAGTCATTAAATGTTTAACATGTTACACGCATGTAAAACAAAAGGTGTCAAAAACTAATTACATTCATACTTATAACAAATAGTATAGAAAACGATAAACAATCGATAGTTTTGTCTGCTCTAGACTGAAGAGTAGGCTAATATGAAGAGTTCAAATATAAGGAAGCATTTGAAAACCAAAAGTGGGAATTTTTTTAATGCTTTAAAGCTGTGAAAATAATCAAAACTGAAAGTGTGCACAGGTAAGTGTATAAAGGTAAAGGTTTATGGGGTTAAAATTTAACATTTATATGATTGAAGACTGAAGCACTCCTACCTTAAGATTCATTATTATTATTACTCTTACCAGCCATAAGTTACGTAGGGTACTCCCTTACTTAAAATATCTAAGTTCAATTTTATAAAGTAATTCTTTGCTGAAGAGTATTATGTAGTGACTATGACACATCATCTATGTTTTATTGTTAAGGGAAATTTTAGGTACATGTAATCTTATTTTTTTCTTTTGTTCATTTCGTGATGAACAAAAGATGTCAATAATTTCATAATGCCAAGCTTTATTTAATCACAAACTTACTCTTGTTATTTCTAGTTTTAATAGTTATCTATAGATCTGAGCTTCACTTGTGATTAACACAAATCAACATTAATGTCCCAGTTAAGTGTTATTTTCAAACATGCAACTCACTATCTCTGCAAAAGTTATATACACTTACATATTAAAAAACATTGCATTGTTAAAACAGAGGCTCATTAAAATAATCCAAATCATTAAATTAATCCGTTAGGAGTCGCCAATCTGTACTCTGACAAGTAACTGTAAGCTCATGAGGAACAAAGTACTTATTCTATCACACAGTTTTATCAAACCAATATAATTAAACATAATGGTCACTTTAAATACCTCATTTATGCCATGTATAGTTGTTTGAATAACTTTAGCAGAGTGTTCTTCACTTAATTGTCACTATTGTTATGTCATCCGTTTGGTGTGAAACGTGGTTGAATAGATCCAACTTTTGGAGGAATTTGACCTGATGGAGTGACATCTGGTATGATTCCCGGGCAGATTAACAGATGTGTGTGGATAAAAGGCTTATCATCTAGAAACTGTAGCACTTTAGGTTTAACATAGATAATGGCAGATAAATTAATACATAAATAAAAACTGATATTTTAGTCCACGAATTGACAAGTCTCTGGAAAAATCTTATAGCAGTAAGTAGGACTGTAATATTGTTTCCTAATTCAGTATTTTCAATACACTTTGAAGTGAAAGATAAGAAGGTCATTTATTTTACGGTGAAATAAGAAGAAAACGACACTTTTTTACCAATTCTTATTTCAAGACTTTTCTCTCTTTCTCTTTTCTTTTTTTGGTCCCTGTGAGTGAGCGGTAAGTTTACGGACTTACTATGTTAAAATTTGAGGTTCGATTCCCACTGGGTTAAATGACTTTGTTGATCTTTATTACATCTCCATGAAAGAGATATTTGAGTAACTTTGATGTATAGGTAAACATGCGAATGTCCTTATCCTGCGATAATAAGCTGTAAAATCAAATCCAGATTTAGTTGAAACTATCATACCATTCCATTTTTTTGCTATAAATTAAATCTTGCTGTTGGATAGAAAAATCAGCAGATACGCTACTTTTTCACTGGTAACATTTTCCTCATTTACATCAAGTCATTTGTGTTGTTGTGTAAAATGTCGCTGTTTGAACCAAGGGCAAAGAAGTCGTTTATTATAGAATTTTATGTCTGCAGACTTACAACGCTAGAAACCGTGGCTGGCAGAACACCGATAGCTCATTATATTTAAACTACATACAAACAAACAAAAAACGTATACATTTCAAATTATATAAAAGTAGCAATGTCATTGAGTACAAACCACTTAAATAATGAAAATCAAATTATAGGGAAAGAAACATAAGGTTTTACTAAATTCTTACGGAATTAATAATATTAATTAATAACATAAAACATTTTTATTAGAAATAAAAGTAAACAGTTTGATTATCGTGATTTTCGTTTTCAGTCATTTCAAAGTTTGGCCTGAAACAAAAAAGACGAGGAAAAAATTTAACAAACACGGTAAATTAAACAGTAAGGCATGTTCAATAAATTTCGCTACATATAAAAATAGCTTTAGGAGAAAGATACCTGTCCCATTATGAAGAACAAGTCACTTTGGTTAAAGTACTTCTTGATGATAAGATAATCTTAATTTGTAGAGAATTTTACAGAAATATATTCCAAAGCTGACAGATCATTAGAAATTTAATTTTTTCTTTTATTCGCTTCCTTTAACTCTTAACTTGTTAAAATTAATTACACAGGCTGCGATGGCTTCATTGTCTTGAAATTTTTACATCTTCTATAGTAATTCCTGTACACTGAATCCGAAAATGATACCAATTTTTTTCCATTACGTATAGATTTTTCACAAAACGTCATATGTACTTTTACATAAGTAAATTATTTTCATTGAAGTTGGGTCACATTTTGTTATGCTTAAAATGTTGACAACCACTTGCTATAGATTTCTCTAGACCAATCGCAATGTGAGTCTTATTGATCGTTCTATAACCCACGAGAAACACCCTAGTGACCCGGCATGGCCAGGTGGTTAAGGCGCTCGACTCGCAATCTGAGGGTCGCGGGTTCGAATCCCCGTCACACCAAACATGTCGCCCTTTCAGCCGTGGGGGCGTTATAATGTGACGGTCAATCCCACTATTCGTTGGTAAAAGAGTAGCCCAAGAGTTGGCGGTGGGTGGTGATGACTAGCTGCCTTCCCTCTAGTCTTACACTGCTAAATTAGGGACGGCTAGCGCAGATAGCCCTCGTGTAGCTTTGCGCGAAATTCAAAACAAACAAACAAACAAACACCCTAGTATATAAACGGTTAACAGGCAGCATGACGTGTCATTTCTGGATAGTATTTATTTGTGTGTGTGCACTTTGACATTATTATTTTTTCTTTTCAATATTACTTATTTGTCGCTATGGCAACAAGAGGTTGTGTAAATGACCCAAACATATTATATTATATTTGTGGTAATTTTGTTGTAAATTTGATCTAAGTAAGATTTTTTTCCCAATTTGTTAAAAATCCTTACGTGATAGAAAAAAATGAATAATATTTTCGAAATCTGCGTAGCTAAATTATGGAAAATCAGTTACTAAAACCAAAACAACTTTCTGAAGTTTAAATTCGCTGGCTTATGTTATTCATTATATTTCCTACGGACACAATATACAGTGGCTATCAAAGTGTCAGTGAAAGGGGAATGTTACTTGACATTATTGAACGCTAATAAATCACTCAAGAAGTCATTCGTTACCTCTAGATGAATTGCTAAGACTGGATCTTCCCACTTATTGTCTATAAAAATCTGGCTATATCCTAATTCGTCAACTTCGATAACATGACCAGTACAAGTGTCGTCTTTCTTGTTTCCAGAAATAACGTCACAGTAACTTCCAGCTTCTAGACCAGTTTGCAAACGTTTATTGAGTGGAAAATTCTCGTTATTGATGGCGACGAAGCCACGATTGCCTCGACTGAAAGCGATCTGATTTCCACCGTTATCCCACCAGTTTTCCACTTGATGGGCTCCCACGACATTCCTGAACTTTACCATATGGTAAATTTGTCGCCATCTGTTCAAAAAACGCAAAGAGCTAGAAATTTAACGCAACAATGTGACCTATATAAAAAAAAATGTTCAATTTCTCAATGTTACATTGCTAGTCTTCATCGGAAACGTGCAACTCAATAACGTGAGATGCACGTGCACCTCTAATTTTGTATGATGTAACGTTGGCCACAAAAATTAGTTTTCATTTTTTTCGACCCCTATTGTTTACCTTTGTATTTAACAACAAACAAACAAACAAAACTTATTTTCTTTCCTGGAAATATAAGTCTTGTTTTGTTTTAATTCGAGTTCATTAGATCGTCATCGCTTAGGACTTTAAAAAAAAATTAGCTTAGGTTTTTATGCATTTGCATTCAATTTCACTGAAATCTCATTTTTTAATGTCCAGTTACTACTATAATGTCATTTGTTTTACTTATAATTGGTAGAAGCAGCTAAAGCTGCCCAAAATGTATAATTATTATATATATACATTATTACAACATATAAGAGTGTAATCTAGTTATTGTCAACGATGGTGTATAGTTATCTTAAATGTATCAAAATAGCAATAAATGAACGAACACAGAAATATCTACATAGTAAATACCTTGTAACTTATTTGAATAACAAAAATCAGTTGATTATCTAAAAACGTAACTGCTGTTTTAAATTCTATCTCACATTCTTGCTACCCTTATTGCTACCCTCTCTCTCCCAGTGTGAGTGAGATAGAAATGCCCATCACTACCGTGCTACATATTATGAAAATGAGGTTACAGAAATCATCTACTCATTAGCACACGCGTTAGAATTATCGATATTTATATATATATTTTTTTTTCTGTACTTGTATGTTTTTAAATGTGTGGCAGATAGTTTTACATACCTGTGTTCACAAACCCATC